TGAGATTCCAACTCAAAAAAAAAAAAAAAAAAAACTATTTAAAATTAGCATTCCACAATTGATTATTTTTTCATAAGTTACCTAACCAATACCATACTTTTCTCTGTGACTAGATAGGGTTTGTAAAAACTCAGAAATGCCAAATATTATTGCAATTTCATGTGAAAGTGCCTCATACTGAAAGAAGACATCTCTTTTAATTTAGTAGAAATTTCCATCACCGATTTCTACCAAAAATATTTTCTGCAAAGTCCCTCCAATTTATGCTACCCAATTTTACATTAGATGATATAGATTAATTTGGTTTTTGGGATTTCCAAAGCCAAACTTCTTTAGACCTAACTAAAATTCTAGAAATATAATAGAAATTTTGAAAATTGTTCATTAATTTCATAACTTTAAGGTCCATTCCTAAGAGAAGAAATAATTAAAACAAGTTTTTTAAAAATAAACATGTGCACTACTTTTGGTAACATTAGACCAACTGTTATAAATAATCTGAACAACCAGACAAACCCACATAGATATACATAAGGGCATAAACACATATGTACAGACAAACCTTTGCTCTTGTATCAAATTTTTCTGCCACAGTGGGTGTACAGGAGATATTGAGAATAGCTATTCCCCCAAATGGAATTATTCCTTGAGATGGAATAATATTAATGGTAGGCAAAAGACTCTGATCACAAACCTGTGATTGAAAAGATACAGAAATGCTGCATTATTCTTTAAAGTTACTGTTTAAAAGCTTTCATAGTGAAGCGTGTACACTACTACCTTGAGAGAGGTTACCTGGGCACAGGACACGAGATAATTTTGTAAGTGTTTGAAGATATCCGACATTCAAATAGATTGAACTAAAACAAGAAATTGCAACCCTAGCCCAGCAAATAGAAAATTCAATAGTGTCACCATCCAATTTAAATTAGATGACGAAGTTTATTACCTGGAGTGCTTTCAAGCCTGCAAAACTTACAAGGATGACTATGTGTTCTAGAATATGACAACATTCTAGATATTACTTTGACGGTTTGTCTTTCCCCGATCCTAAAACTCAAAGCAAAGTTAGCAATGAGGTAGGCTGATGAAGTAATCTAATCTCCTTGATAGAAAATCTAGTGTCTAAGATATCATTTTGATCTTTTAAAAGTTATATGTAACTTACCAAGGATTTACAATATGGTTTTTCATAGGCCAATTTAGGCAGGCCTACTTACCATGCTTTAAGAGAGAATAATTTAAAGGGAAACTGACCAAGATATTTCTTTGAATAAAGGAACAAATAGGTTATGTAGGTAAGAACTAATTCAAAAGAAGTAGAGTAGAAAATGACTTCTTCATTTGTCTATTTTGGCTGAAAAGTAGATTTAGGCAGAAAAAGACACGTTAATGTAAAGCTTGAATGAAAGATGTAAATGCTAAACTAATACCACTACTAGTGGGGGGAGAGGGGGTTTTACTATATTTTTTTAGTAAGAAAAAATCTATCATCACGTTGCTCTTCCTTCCATTTATATCAGGATCAACATCTATAAACAGACTATCTCCAGAATGGCCTTGATCTAGGTCCTAGTTTTTACCATAATGGTTCTGATTACAGAGTGAAAATATAGAGAAAAGAGAAAGCATGTAAGCATAGGTATAATATTAATTAATAACGCATATTTTTAAAAGCATTAAACTTTTATTTTTGCAACAAAACCAAATAATAGACAGAAATAATAAATAATAAGAACAATGAAAGATAAAGAAAAGTAAAAGAAAGGCTTAAGGAAGGACGTGAGAGAAATGATTCTTACAGGAAATTAAAGGAAAAACTAAATGAACTCTACTCAGATAAATCTTATATAAAATATGTGAAAATTAGCACAAAATCAAGAATAAAGAATTAACTGCATGGTATCCATTGCACAAAAAATTGATTCAAATCATAATGTGATCTGATCTGAATAAATGACAACATCCTATGTTACCTTAAAATAAGCATGGCTTTGCCCTACATTGTGAAGAACAGCTTTCCTCCAAGTTGTTAAACCTTGAGGACAATTACTGAAGAGTATTTTTGGTTCCAAAAATGTAACCTTGGTGCGATCAACCTAATAATGAGAGGAAGAAAGGAAAAATACAATTGATTATCCCTTTATTTTTTATTCTCTCTCTCTCTCTCTCTCTCTCTATATATATATATACATAATATATATATATAATATATATACACACACATATAATTTTACACACACACACACACACACACACACACACACACACACATATTTAATTGGGGTCTCACTCTGTTGTCCAGGCTGGAGTACAGTGGCATGATCATGATGATCACAACTCACAGCAGCCTTGACCTCCTGGTCTCAGGTGGTCCTTCCACTTCAGTCTCCTGAGTAGCTGGGACTACAAGCGCATGCCAGGGTGCCTGGCTAATTTTTTTTAAAAAATTTTATAGAGACAAGTTTTCCTATGTTGCCCAAGCTGGTCTCAAACTCCTGGGCTAGAGCAATCCACCTGCCTCGGCCTCTCAAAGTACTGAGATTACAGGCGTGAACCACTGTACCCAGCTGTTAGATATGTTCTAACATGCAAAATAAATCCCATTTCAGGATTTTTTTTTAAATTATAATTTTGATGAAAAAGTACTCCAGGTATTACAATATTTTCCTAAATTTAAATTAAATCTATAATTACATAGGATAGGGTAATAATGTCATAGAAGATATTTTATTTAGACATTTTGCTATAATAAAATAATTAAATATCAGATATTTGGAATTTAGATATTTTAGGTAAAATATCTAGATATTGGTGGTAATAGTAAATAATGATTAAAATGGAAAAACAAGATTATTGTGTACCCAGTATGAATCAGACATATAATTAGTCTTTTACTTACATTTACACTATGCTATACCAGCCCAGAAAATGCCCAGAAGGAAGGCAGACTATGTCTATATTATCCAACTTTAAATATACAGAGCCTACATGATGCCTAGTACAGATTACGTGATCAATATATAACCGTTAAATGAATGAATAGCTGGTACTATCACAATTTACAGAATAAACAAACATTTAGGACAATTAATTAACTGTCTAAATCACACAATGATTGGATAACATTCACCAGTTCCATCGAGTATTTGTTGATATATTCAACAAACGTATAATTTTTTGACGTATTAATCTAGCACAATCTCATTACAGCTAACAAAAACTCTTTACTATGAACAAACAATGAAGTTAATACTACTCATGGGGAAAAGTGAGAAAGTAGTGAGAGCAGGGATAAAAATATATTTTTCACCCCTACAATATAACTCAAATTTTTCGCTTCATAGTGATTTATAAAATATGAAGTGTTGTCAGATTTTGTGGAGGGCTTAAGAGAAAGGAAAACAGAATAGAATATTTAAAATGTACTCCCAAACTAGGGAAGGTGAGATGATAACTCTAAGAAGGAAGTAGATCCAGGACTAAGAAACATGTTGGTTAATCACTGAAAGATCTTAGAGATCATCTACCCAACTGTGTACAAAGTGTTACTATGTGCGGTGTTAAAGCAGAGTTCAAGGGTCACACAAGTATGGAAAAGAAGGTGCTAAATGCAATCCTCCTAGTAGAAGTCTTCTCTTGGAGATTAATATGCTGATAACGTACACTTTGTCTATCTGAGAATGGGGATGTGATTGACTGGGATTTACAGAATTACTTAGGCACAGGATACCGACTCCTCCTCCCATATAAAGAACCTTACAGAACTACTGCATCATAGACTGCTTTCTGGTAATGCTGGTATTATCCACCTCTCCAATTTTGCAGCAAAGTAAGCAGTAGCCAAAGAGAACTAGAACCCAAGTTTTCCAATTTCTCATTCAGTGCTTTTTATATCAGATTCTATTGCCTTTATCTATGAAATATTATTTATTACTGTCATAGTTTTTAACATATTTTAATAATTATTTTGTCATTTGAAGAGCATGATTTGGCTAATTGAAATAATAAGTTTTCAAAAATAGCTAACAGAAAATAGTCAAGTACGTCAGTCCTTCATAAATGAATGACACTCTTTAAATGAACATTTTATTTAATCACCTTATGTTTCTCCATCTTTGTGCTCTTATGAATAACACTTCATAGTTCTTTTAACTTCAAGGATTTCAAAGTTTACCTAAAATAATCTATTTTTATATTTCAGAGTTTAATTCTTATTCTGATATAAAGAAAGCAGAAAGCAAAGGCTATGGAGACAGATAGATCTGGACACAAATTCCAATTAAGGCATTTACTGTATGTGTGAACTTGGGCTAGTTACTTAACAACATTAATCTTCCATTTCCTTACCCATCAGTTGTGTTAATAGTAAATGTCTCATAGGATTTTTTTAAGGATTAAATTAGATAATATACAAATAGCATATAGCATGATCTGACACACATTAATTACTCAATAAATGGTATATATTATTAATGCTAAGTTTAAAGTACTAAATTGCACATCTTTAATCTGTTAGAAAAAATACATATGAGGTGAGTAAGTGTGCAAATTTTTATTAGTAAACTTTTCAAACCCAATTATGTAAATAGCAGCTAAAAACTGTGCACATATGAGAATGAATAATCCATAACCACATACATGAACATAGATTAATTCCATAAACCTAATGATGGTTAAAAGAAACCATACACAAAATATAATACATGGTTTGATTACATTTATATTAAGTTCAAAAACAAAATTAATCTGTGCTCATAGAAGTAAAATTAGTGATGGCCCTGGAAAGAATATGTAGTGACTGGAAGTGTGGATTGTTTTCTGGGGGGTTACTCTGCAATGCTAATCATGTTTGGGTTCTTGATCTGGTTAATATGGGAGAGATTACAAGGGTATTATAAGTTTGTGAAGATGAATTGAGTGATACATAGCTTCTAGTGCACCCTTTTATATTTATCTTATACTTCAATTAAAATTTTTTAAAAGACTTGCAAGCAATTTATACATAAAGGAAAACAGCAAGACTTAGCTTATTTTAAGCTTAAAGCAGAGGAAAGACCCTACTGGGTTCTGACTATCACTTGCCATCACTAAAGTGGATGAATCTCCAATCACTTAAGATTATAAACAACTTCACGAATTGGAGACCAGTTCCGATTTCCATGAGGGTATGTCCTTCATTTTCTAAGGTTCTTATGGTTTGAGGTTTTACATTTAGGTCTCTGATCCATTTGGAGTCAACCTTTGTGCATGGGGATAGGTAGGGGTCCTGTTTCAATCTTCTGCATGTGGTCAGCCAGTTTTCCCAGCACCATTTACTGAATAGATTCTCCTCTACCCAGTGGTAGGTGGTGGAGGCTTTGTCGAAGATGAGTTGGTTGAGAAATTGAGGTTTTGCTTCTGGAATCTCAATTTTATTCCATTGATCTATATGCCTATTCCTATACCAATACCAAGCTGTTTTGATGATTGTAGCTTTATAGTAGAGTTTGAAGTCTGGTAATGTGATACCACCTGCTTTTTTTCTCTTTTTTTTTTGCTGAGAATTGTTCTGGCTATTCTTGGACGTTTGTGTTTCCATATGAATTCCTGTATTGTTTTTTCTAGCTCTGAGAAGAATGTTGCTGGTAATTTGATAGGTATTGCATTGTATTTGTAGATTGCCTTAGGTAAGATGGACATCTTCACAATGTTGATTCTTCCAATCCATGAGCATGGAATATTTTTCCACTTGTTTGTGTCATCTTTGATTTCTTTGAGCAGTGTTTTGTAGTTTTCATTGTAAAGGTCTTTCACATCTCTGGTTAGGAAGATGCCAAGGTATTTCATTTTTTTTGTGGCTATTGTGAAGGGAATTGTGTTTTTTATTTGGGTTTCTGTTTGTTTATTATTGGTGTAATCACAAAGGAAGACATCCGAGCAGCCAACAGACATATGAAGAAATGTTCAACCTCACTAATCATCAGGGAGATGCAAATCAAAACCACACTGAGATACCACCTAACTCCAGTCAGAATGGCAATTATCAACAACTCAAAAAATAACAGCTGCTGGAGAGGGTGTGGAGAAAAGGGAACACTTCTACACTGTTGGTGGGAGTGTAAACTAGTGCAACCTCTGGGGAAAGCAGTGTGGCGATTCCTAAAAGCCCTAAACATCAACCTCCCATACGACCCCGCAATCCCCCTACTGGGAATATATCCGGAAGAATACAAATCACTCTATAAAAAAGACACCTGCACACGTATGTTTATCGCAGCATTGTTCACAATAGCAAGAACCTGGAAGCAACCATGCTGCCCATCAAAAGAGGACTGGATTTAAAAAATGTGGTACATATACACGATGGAATACTATGCAGCCATAAAAAGGAACAAAATCATGAATTTCGCAGCAACCTGGATGGAACTGGAGTCTAAAATACTGAGTGACCTCTCACAAAAACAAAGGTCCGAGTATCACATGTTCTCACTCATATAATGGACCTTGAACGTCCTACCTAATAATATAAGAAAATGACTGACTAGTGGGAAACTATGCGGGGGGAAGGAAGATGGGATTAACGAGCAAAGATCTGTCTGGGGATGGGGAAGCACCTCTTATCAATAGGGTGCCTGAATGAAACGTATCTGTATACCTAACCCTTAACTGTACTCCACAACATCATAATAAAAAATATTGATTATAAAAAAAAACTTCACAACTGAAATATGTAAGCATATCATCATGTCCTGGAGACAGATAAGGGATTTAGTAGAATAGCATTTGGCTGGTGTTATATTTCTAAGAAGGTTGGGTGGAAAATTTGGTATACAAGTAAGGTACATTTTTGGTGACTAGGTCATGAAGTCAGTGCCTTCTTAGCGTTACCTAAGAAAATTAAAATTACATACTGCAGCCTTTACTTACGTTTTTGTTCCAAGATATATGTTCTATACAAATAAACAAAAAAACTATACATTTCCTAGCTATGTAAATTATGTAATTACTTTCATACCAAAGCATTAATTACTACTAGTATATTAACAACAGAGTAGGGAAAAATATAATTTTCTCTATTTTTCTTTTGTGTATATTTAATGAAATAATTTAATTACAAGTGACTCCCATGATGATATTACATATTTATAGAGACTCTAATAACAACCTAGTATTGGCACAAAAGTCCTGAGTTTCTGAGTTAATTCCAAGTATATAGGAATCAATGTATAGTCTTCAAAATTAAAAAAAAATGTTCAAGAGAATAATTACATTTGCAACACATTTTAGTGTCAAAGTGTTTCCTTCAAAGACATGAAGAATAAATTCTCCTCTTTCTGGAGAACTGAAACTTGGATGCCATGTTACTTCACATTCCAGTGAGGAGAATGCTTCAACAGTGCCTATGTAAGATGGAGAGAGAAAATAAGACATTTATCACATTTTTATTATATTTACTTTTAAAAATATACAAATAAGAGCTGACATAAAGTTTAATGACACTATATAACAAATTATTAAAATTAAACTCCCAAAATAGAAAAATGCTGAGAGATTATTAAATGAATATAGAGGTATAGGATTTGATTAAAACTTGAAATGAATGCCTTAGTTTTTAATTTTATAGGCAAATAAATATATGTGACAAAGATATGTCAATGTTTGGACAAAAATAGAACATTTATCAATGATGCAAACTCTGGGATTAGAGATATCTTTACATGTAGACAGTAGAACATGACTTGTGATCCCTAACCATATTGTTTACTCCTGACGATTGTTTCTTGACATTCTAAAATATTTTCCAACATAACTAATTCACCTTTCAGAGGGAAGAATTGCTATTATCAGTGATTTTTTTTGAAATGTATATATCCCTAGAGGCATAATTGCTAGTGTAGCTAACAATAATTAACACATTTTTATAATTCAACCCACGTGGTACCAGGTACATTTGGTTTGAGCTGGATTTTCTGTTTAAATTTATAGTTTCCTTTGTAGCAAGGAAAATAATACTTAATAGAAAGAATAACTTAAAAGTTCTTCCTTCAGGAAAAGAGAAGTCCCTGAGATTCAAGGACACAGAACACTGAATGGAAGAGATGAGTTACCATCACAAAAATCTTTGCTTTGGATCAGGTTAACACTCATGTGATGACAGTTCCCAATCTTAAAAAAGATACCATGCCTACCTCTTAGTTTTGCAGTGGCCACATAGGGAGGTAACAATACATATAAAGGGATTAACATAGTGTGTGGTACCCGAAAAGTGTCCACTTTCAAATATTTTTAGTACCCTTAAATTTCAACACTATACTAGGGACATTCATTTATAAAAGGAGATCTGGTTATGGAAGTGCTAACAGTCTATTGGAAGTCCATTAGGATTACATTTGGTCATAAATAACTAAAAGTCCTGCTACAGTGGGTTAAGCAGATAGGATTTTGTTTATCATATGCAGTCAGAAGTCCAGGGATAAGTATTCCAGATCTGCCTTAACAGGTTTACAATTCCTTTAGGGCCAATGAGCTCCTTCTAGCTTCATATACTACCATTACTTACTATGTGCCCTTCTTCATTGTTGAAGGGTACTGGATATAATAGTGATTAAAAGAGCACACATTTTAGGTCAAGTCTCCCTGGCTGAAATTTCAGATCTGCCACTTATTATCTGAGACCTTGAGCAGTTTCCTTAACGACTCTGTAGCTCAGATTAATTACATGTAAAATATAGGTAATAATTGTATTTACTCAAGGAATCACATTGTGGAGACTAAATAAGCAAATGTCTGTACAAGTACTTGAAACAGTGCCAGGCACGTAAAAGGGGATGGAGCTAAAAGAAATTTCTGTCTATATTTCATTGGCAAAAGGGGTTGGGGAAAAGAGTTTTTGAGATGAGAACGTTGCAGTCCCAGAAAAATGGAGGTACTCTTAAGAAGAAGAATGGATATCAAATATGAATTTAGCAACATCTACCAAAATAGGAGACAGACATAAACAAATAATCATAGATGATATATCAAATATATAATAGGAACAAAAAAAAAAGATTAGAAGCCAAAATTATCCCAAGAAAGTGGAGGAAGCTTCATTATATAGAGGTAGGATTTGAGTTGTGACATGAAATATGAGTAGGAACTCTACAGAAAAACAAAGTCTAAGGGCTGTGTACAAGTCAAGTTACAGAATAGGAAAAGAGTAATATATAAGGAAGATTGTGGTGGGAAATAATTTAACAAAGAGGATTCAGTGCTACAAATAAAGCCATCTGAGTGCCCTGAGAAGAGTAAAAAGCAGTAACAGGATTATACATCCATATTGACAAGTCAATTTGAGGAGAATATTTTCCTCTGATGAGCATGGGTATATATTTTTCTTCAGGAATATTATGTATATTGGCGCATGGGAAATAAATTGGATGACTTTGAAATAAACCAAAATATTTCTCCCCACAATAAAGGATTGTTAAGTAAAAGATACTGAAAACACAGGGGAGCACTCTGTCTAAGCTTCTATTTGCCTGATGGCAGCACATAAATCCTCTCTTACTAGAGACAGCACTTGCTTATGGGCCCAAAGATGACATCAGCAAGAACCAGAAAAATCTGGGAACAGATTGTACTAACTTCCCACATTTTTTCGCCATTTAAAAGACTGGAATTGCTTTCTCCTTTGTCTTTGCTAAGATTTATCATTTTTTGTTAAAAACACTGTTTAAGCAAAACTATGCTAAGATTTATCATTTTTTGTTAAAAACACTGTTTAAGCAAAACTCCTAAGCCATGTCTTGAAAGAGATAACTTTGAACATGGGCTTTTTCCAATGTGATGGGTACAGCATACATCAACAAATTTCTGCTGGTTTTTCTCTTGTTAGTCTGACTTTGGTTTTCAGAGAATGGTTCCATTACAAACTTATGAGAGTTGAGAAAAGGAATCATGTTTACTCCCCTTTAGATGGATTGAGCAAGGCTAGGACTTGTAGGGCAGTTACTGCATATGACCAAGGAGTGAGAGAACTGACTGAGAAAGGGAAGGAGAATGAACCGATTGATGGCAAGTTCAAGAATTGAGTGACTCAGCGTTTTAGTAAGGATAAAGACAACAAAACAAAACAAGCAGAAGTATGAACAATACCCACAGAAAATGTCAAATTAGAAGTGAATTCTATCTTAGAAAACACCCAGCGGCTCTTCTGCTCTCTAAACACATATCCAAAATTTATCATGCCTCGGGGGAAAAGGACAAACACAATATGAATTTTAAGTTGCAATTATACACATTAACAAAAATGTAGGGAAAGACATATGAATAAATGTATTGTCCAGGATGCAAAGCCAATATAACATAAGTAATAAAAAAAAACCGCAGCAAAAAGTCACTATTTATACAAAGAGGCAAAAACAACATAAAATCGAGTACCTATTATATAACTATTCTAAGGAAAAGAATATAATAAAATCTATGCATGTAATACAAATTATAAAAATTTTATTCAATGCTATACAAAATAGATTTGATTATTGTATCATCTGTATTCTTAAAATAGAAAAATAACTTAAATACCTTTTGTGTTACTCATACGAAAATTTTATTTGAATTAAATATCTTTGTGTTTTTTGCCTTGGTGATTTTGATTAAAAAATATGAGGCGTCATGAGAAACCCAAAGAAAATAAAAGTAAATGCCGAAATTTCCCTAGTAAAATAAGATTTCTAAAGAACATGAGAAGCATAAATGTTTTACAGCATGGTAATTCTACCTCTCTTTTACACAAATTAAGCATCATCATTGCATTTCCATGGCAGCCACAAGGTAAGTCCAGTCCATTCTTTCATGGTTAAGATGGAGAAATACAAGGAAAAGTATTAGTGTACTCTTAGCATAATATCAGGTGGTTAGTCAGAACTTACAGCTGGAATGCTGATACCATAATTACCACTGTTTGATAACTGTTCTAAAAAACTGAAGAAAGTTTATTTAGAATCTCTGAAATGTACAGAAAATTATAAGTTCTCTTTCTTCTCTAATTATTCTCTCAGTATTTCTCTAGATTGGAACAAAACCCAATATTATCAGCATTATCATTTAAAAAGAGCTTAGTCAAATGAATCTGCAAAATATTGATAAAAGTATGTCTTGAATGATTAATAAATTATGATCTAGGATCATGCTAAATTTATCTAGGCTAATAAAAAGATTAAACAGCTATACCAAATGATCTCCAACCCTAATGAAGAGACCAGCCTATTCTAGTTAAGCTTTTCAACACTTTTTCATCTGCACACACTAAAATTAAGTGAATATAATTTAACACTTAAGATTGATTTTATAATACTTCCTGTTACTCCTGTAACTCCTGTAGAGTTATATAAAATCCTGATTTAGAAATGGCTGTTGTTCACAAGAAAAATACACTGAAGGCAAGATTTCTACAAACCAGGACTCTTCTGTGATCTGAAGTATAGTTTATTTGGATCCTAAATAATGACTATTCCTAAATTAGAGATAAAGAGAAAAGAAGGGGAGAGGGGAAAGGAAGCAGGGAGGGAAGAAAGGAGGAATAAATAGAGAGAAGGAAGGAAGCAAGGAACAGGGGGCTAATAATGGGGATAGATTTCAAGGTTCACAACAGGCTGTTATTTCTCTAAGGAGACTTTCAGGGAAAAAAAATCCAAACAGAATTTAAAATGTTTCATAATCAGATATCTATCTATTTGGCACCCACTCTTTGTCAAGTATTATAGAAAAATTTCCACATATTTGAGTTTTGAGATGCATTCATCTTTCTGTTACAGATGAGGAAATTAGTGTTCAAAGAATACTTTAATTTAAAATAGCTAGAGAGAAGCCAATATTACTTTTGACATCTGGTCTCTCTGACTCCAGAGTCTGTTTTACTTTTCATTCATGCAGAATTGGACTTCGGGTGGTTATACAGCACCACATAAGTCAATGCAGATATAAAGTTCTGGATCTTTCCATTTATCTGGAAAGGCATGACATGCACATAAAGGAAATATACGATATTGGTTATTCAACATCTAACTTGTTATTTTATTTTCTCAAATGGTAGTTTGTGTACTCATGAGGCCCTCACAGCACATCACAATAATGGCCAAATTTGACAGGCTACTAGGTAAGTCACAGTTTATCAGTTACCAGATTTCATTTTATAACAGGTATTTTATGTGAAATAATTGATTCCAGGGAATGACAGAAGCAAGGTTAAGAGGATGGTTAACAGATACAAGGCACCATCAAACATGGTGAATCTGATATTGTTTTCTATTAATTAAAATTTTTCATATTTAAATGACAGCTTTAAGTTGATTTTATTGATTGAATTTTATTAATTGTATTAACTATTGGTTATAAATAATTTCTTAAGCCTTCTAAAAGAACTCATACTCTGACAAAATATAAGTCATTCTGAATCACATCTTATCATTATTATAAAACTAAAACTAGAAAAAAAAAACTTTGTCTACCAGTGTCTGTGACAGTTGATTTTATCTGTCAATTTGACCAGGTTGTGGGGCTCACTTGTTTGGTAGAACTCCAGTCTAGATGTTACTGTGAAGGTATATCTTATATGTGATTGACACTGAAATCAGTAGACTTTCAAAATATTTAAATGACAAAGACTGTATATATTCAAGATGTACAATGTGATTATTTGATATGCATATATAGTGTATTAATTATCACAATCAGATTAATTAACTTGCAGATTATCTTTTATAATGTGGTGGGCCTCATCCAATAAGTGGAAAGCTCTAAGATAAAGGATTGAGGTCCCCAGAGAAATAATACATTCAATTATGCCTCCAGAATGTCTTTGGACTCAAGACTGCACCATCAACTCTTCTCTGGATCCCCAGCCTCTCAACCCACACAGCCGTACAACCTAGTGAGCAAGAGTAAATTTCTTAAAATGTCTCTCCCTATCTCCCTTTCTGTCTCGTTTTCTCTGTTTACACATATCCTATTAGATCTTTTTATCTGGAGAACCCTAATGCAGGATCCATATTTTCAAATCATATTTATGTATGTAAAAATAAATGCTCCTGGTGACTGTATCTGATTTACTTCCATGCCCTTAGCACCAGTACACAGTACACACTCAATAAATTATCAGTGCCCAAATATATGAATAAACAAATGTCCAACCAAACAAAAAGAATAAACCATTACCTTTATCTGGATGAATAGAAAATGCCATCCCTCTTCCTGTGTTTACCGGTTGCCATTCAAATTGGGCAGAATGATTCTGACGATTATACAACCTAACTGTCCCCCAAAAACATGTTTTCATCAAGAAACCTTGTGGTCTCAATACAAGTTCATTCGAAGATAGCTCAAGTTCTACTGGCTGGACGACTGCCATCACTAGAATGTGTCCACTGGGTCTGTTGTTCACTGTAAAGTTGAAGGAACTGGAGCACAGCAAAATCATCCAAATTTAATTGATAATAACTATCTGTAATTATGCAATTCAGTTAAATGTAAAAATGCATACATTATTGATTAACATCCACAATTCTTAGCATATAATACTTTAAAATAATTATGAAAGATAATTAGATTACCACTAATACAAATCTACAAATTGATGCACATATAGTTTTTATGTTTTGGGAAAAAACATAATTTATACTATAATATTTTAGGCAAATAAATACATATTATACAAAAGTACACTTTGATTTTAGAAAACAGAAATATGAAAATAATTCCTACTTCCAAAATTTTCCAATGATGGGAGATTCAAATACTATTGAAATAGAAGTACTGGATGTAGGTGGCATCACATATGAAAATTGGTTGGTCTTCTGAAGTTCTTTAAAATTAATATCTAACTGAATCAAAATATGCATAGGTAGCATATTAACAACATGCAGTAGATGAGTATTTGTGGAGTTCACACAAATATTACCAAAGTTTACGACAGAAGGCCCTGAAAAATAAAATAAATTTTATTAAGTTTAATGTTGGCAAATGAATTAATTTACTGTTTAAGTTTTTTTCCCTTATATATTATATAATATACATTATATATATTTTTTAAGATGTGGGATACCATTCATGGTTAGGTATACAAATGGTCATTGTACAGGTAAAGTTTGGGTCTTACTATGGTCCCCACTTCACCTGGTTTAAGATCAGGTACCCTTATTGATGAAGTGTTTCCCTCCCTCCCTTCCCCGGCAGTTTCCCACGACTACCAATCCATTTCTTATAGTATTATGATAATTGTTCAGGGTCTGCTTATGAATGAGAACATGTGGTATTCAGTTCTTTGTTTCTGTGATAGATCATTCAGTATTATAGACACTAAGTCCATCCAAGTTGCTACGAAGTTCATAATTTTGTCCTTCTTTATGGCTGCATAATATTCCATCGTGTATATGTACCTGATTTTTTAAATCCAGTCCACTTTCAATGGGCAGCACAGTTGGTTCCATGGTTTTGCTATTGTGAATAATATTGTGAATAATGTTGCAATAAACATGTGCGTGCAGGTATTTTTTTCATAGAGTGATTTGAATTCCTCTGGGTATATTCTCAGAAGGGGGATTACTGGGTCATATGGAAGGTCGATTTTTAGATTCTTTAGGAATTGCCATGCTGTTTTCCATAGAGGTTGTAGTTGTTTAAGTTTTCAAAATACATTTGATCCATTGAGTTGTATACACATAACATAAAACTATGTAGTACAATATCAGAAATTAGAAACCAAACATTTTATCTAAATTACCATAATTTAATGTTTGAAGATTATTGGCTAAAAGCCAATATAAATATTTCCAATTTTATGGAAAATTATATGACAAAACAACAAGCATTAATTATAACTTGTCTTAGCACATTAAGTTGCAATACTCCAACACCCTCTCTATTCTCATTAATACAATATTTTTTATTGTATTT